AGTGCAAACAGCTACTGAACTGAATCCCAGTCAGTTTGTGAGAAGGAGAGATACTGAAGTGCCTGCTCTGGAATTGCCATGCTGTTTTCCAGCTGTTATACCTGGTTTGGACGCTAAGCATTGTGGGTTAAAGACAATGAAAGCTGTTGAAAGCTGTGAAAAAACAAATAAACTGACAAGGCTGTTGCTGTAATAAGGATACATATTTTTCACAGTAAGCCATAAAATATTATTTGCTTTTTGCACTCTTCTCATAAAATTTCTCAGTTAATTTGTCCCACCCTTGACTGGTAGTGGTGGGAATATACAGTGAAAGAATCCTTTGCAAGTTCATGCTGATTTAACATGCTAATTTAGACAGAGTCTAAACTCTAAAGTTGTAAGATTGCGGTATCAAAGTCCTCTTTGAGAAGTTTTTATTGAATATTTCTTGTTTAAATACTAATTGTATTTCTTATTTAAAAAATGTGGTTGATTAGGTCTAAGCTGCTTGACCTTACCATGAGCAACCAGTAGGAGTCAGTGCTCACCAATCTCTTAATCAGTTAAAAGTTGTATGTTTTGGTTTTCTTTTGGCAGTGAATTCAATATTCTTTGCTCTTTTTGCAACATAAAAAGCTGCTCGTGTTCTTTAACACTGTATGATATAAAGAAATTGCTTCATTTTCAATCATATCTGGAAAACTGAACCAAGCAATAACTGAGACCCACCAAAATTTGCCAGTATCCCACTAATTTATTGTTGGATTTGGTTCTTTATCATCGTTTGTTTGTAATTCCCTGACAGTTCAGGAACTGACCCTCTGGCTTCTATTTAATCATGTAATTGTAATTTTTTTTTTTTTTTTTTTTTTTAAACCATAGAGACATTTTTGATTTCTTTATTAGGATGAATCTTCTCCTTCAGAGAGAAACATAAACGGCAGGAATAAACAGTTTAAAGTGTTACTGGGAGGCCAAACCAGTCTTTTCTCAAGCAGCAGCAGGTTATATTTATTTGTTTTATTTTCTATCTTTTGTAAATATTTGAAGAGTTTCAATGGCTAATTATATAAGGGGATGTTGGAGCTGGGTTTATATTTTGTTCTTGAAGAAAAAAAATAAAACTTATTTCAAATCGTGTTGATTCTGCTGGTCTAATATATGCGAGACATATTTCCTTTAAATTAGGAAAGAACTGCTTCCTCCATAATTATGAAATGAAATACTTTACTGCTCTGGATAAAAATATGACACAGACGGTAAAGAAAATATTACATTATGTCCTGAATGGAATTATAGTATAATTTTTACCTTTTTGCATGCCTTTAAGCCCATGTTAATATTAAAGTTTCAAATATTTTCATATGTTTCAAAGGTGTGTTTCTACAGAGTGGTACGTAACATAGCTATGCAGTAAATCATATTGCAGACTGTCATGGTCAGAACAGCCTAGTAAGATATTGGCTTATAGTGATATGACCCTCATCTACAATAATTATATACATTTCAAGCTAAATTTGATTTCACATTTAGCTGTTGACCTAAACTTACTAAATGTTTATTTGGTACAACCTTCTAGTAGTGGGTTGAACTTCTGCCTTCGGATTTGTCCTAATTCTTCATGGCACATATTCAACAAGCTGGAAACATTCCTCAAAGGTTTTGGTCCATATTGACATGATGGAGTTACACAACACATCCATGATGTAAATCACCTGTTCTACTACTCCTCAAAGGTGCTCTGTTGGTAACTACTAACTGTAGGGATACAGTGAACTCAATGTCATGTTCACGAAACCAGTTTGAGATGATAATGACAACATGATGTGTTATCCTTTTATAAGCAGCCATCAGAAGATGGGTACACTGTGGTCATAAAGGAACGGACATGGTCAGCAGCAATAATCAGGGTCTCAAAGTGTAACAAGACAATATTGCCTATAACCGTTACATCAACAACAGCACTCTGAACTGTTGATACAAGGCAAAATAGATCCATGGTTTTAAGTTGTTGATGCTAAGCCTACCATCTGAATATCACAGCAGAAATGGACACTCATCGGGCCAGGCAGGTTTTCCAGTCTGTTAATGCCCACTTTTGTTGAGCTTGTATGAATGGTGGTCTGATAGCTGGCAGGAATGGCACCCAGTGAGGAGTTCTGCTGCTGCCTCAGTTTCTGTCACCATCCTATCAACTTAAAGTAGCTTCGCCATTCTCTGACCTCTGGCATCAACAAGGCATTGTCCAGAGAACTGCTGCTGACTGGATATTTTATTTTTTTCTGAAATTTCTCTGTCAACTCTAGAGTTGGTTGTGTGGGAAAATCCCAGCAGGTCAGCAGTTTCTGAAACAGAGCATGCCTCGCACCAACAACAGTGCCACATTGTCCTTTAAATCATCTTTCATCTTTCAGCAGGCATCTTGACCATCGACATGGCTTTCAGTTGTTGTGACTGGCCACTTAGAGGTTTGTGTTAACAAGTAGTTGGATAGTTGCTCCTAATAAAGTGGCAATTTGCCAATTAAGGAGTCAAACATCTCAAGAAGACTCCCAGCGTTGGAATTTGGATTCAAAAGGACTCTCAATGCAAAACCAAAAATCTATCTGCGAGATTATGGGACCATTAAGGGTATGTTGTGTGTGTAAGTCTGGGGGGGGGGGTTCTATTCCACTGCGGGCCAGTGGCCAATAAAGCCTTGATTAAGGGTATATATGTTACCAGTAAAGACTATGGCAGTGATGATCAAAGAAAAAATGCATTAAGGAGGTAGGCATGTTATCATCCAACTCAGCTCTGAAGAGAAGAGTTCATGAGAGTCAAAGCATTCATAAACTTTGATAACAGATGGACAAAAAAAAAAAGAAGCTGCATCAGGTGACCCTGAATAGTCTTAGTTATGCTGTAGTAGGTCTAAACTGCTGGGAGCTTCACATGATGCACTAAGTGTTTCTTCCTCACTCACTTTTTTCTTTTCGTTCACTATGTGTTTATACACCACTCTGCAATTAGTCATTAGTTATTATTAATCTCTGGCTCTCTTCCACAGCATGTCTTTGTCCTGTCTTTCCCCAACTCATTGCTCATGGCCGCCCTCCCTGAGTCTGGTTCCGCCAGAGGTTCCTTCATGTTACAAGGGAGTTTTTCCTTCCCACTGTCGCCAAAGCAGTCCTCATAGGAGGTCATATGACTGTTGAGGGTTGTTTTTCTTTGTATTATTGTGGGGTCTTTACCTAATAGTACAAAGTGCCTTGAGACAACTGATGTTGTGATTTGCCATTAAATAAACTGAATTGAATTCAAATGAACTGAAATGTATTGAATTGAATTGGTCATGTCAGAGATATCTAGATGGACTAGATAGTGATGTCCATGGTTTCCAGTTTTCAAAATTGTGAAAACTGTACAAATTCCTGCGTTTATGTAGCTGAGGCTTTCTGTGTTTAATGCTAGTAACTACTGTTAATCACCGCAATCAGATAATAATGTAGACAGATGGAGAAATCAGACACACAAGTCCTGAGCCCATTTAAGAGGCTGACGGTCACGAAGGCCAGACAGAAAGCTGATATCTTTGTTTTCCATGACTTAATACTGTTTGTTGTCTTTAACTCAGACATAGTAAGAGTGAGAAGGCTGAAGAGGAGGGAGAAGAAGAAATGAGAGACCACATAAATAGTCAAATTTCCCCCACAGGTGTCTGTGTAACTAAATAATGCATTTTTCATGCATTATGGCTTTTAAAGGCACCAGTAACAATCTTCCAACTCATTTTGTCAATTATTATAGTATATATGTATTATATTTATGTATATTTAGATGCAGAAAATGGAAAGCAATGTAGCAGAACATTGTGCAATAAAATACATATTATACCTACTGTATTTCCTTGGCTTTAGAAAAATTAGTTTTAATTTAAAAGCAAACCAAAAAAATGATTAAATTAGCACATCTACAGCACAGACATATTAGACAGACAGGGCTTTAAATCTCTACTTCAGAACTACTTTTAAATATTAAAGCATGATAAAGTTCTCTATATCTATATAGCTCAAAACTGCAATAATTACCACAATGCAATAAATATATGTTGTTTTTAAAAGAGCATTCTATGTGTCAAAATAACCTATTAGAAAGAATATTTTGCAGGGTAGAAAAAAGTAAAAAGACATGTAAATTGCTTTGTTCTACAACAATATTTAGTTATGAGTGACTTAAATACAGAATGTTACAAATCACTTTTTTAAATATGACAAAATTTAAATATGTACAAATAACATTATTTGGAGCATGTGAAGTTAAATTAGTAGAACACCCAGAACTGTACCCAAATGTTAACTTCAGTCACGACTGGATTCAACCATGCATGAGAGAAATCTTCAAAAAGCAGCGCTGCAGTAGAGGCAAGTATTAACTGGTAAATATAATAACAGTTGGGAGTGTTTCAGTTATCATTTGATTTAACAGGGTCTGGTATGTAACCTCTACTGAAACAGCACTAGAGCTTTTTTTCATATAAAATACAGTTTTATCATCAGTCTAATTAAAAAAAACAAAACCCTTTCTTCAAAGTAAAGTATGACTATAAGGCCCCAGGGACCGTTCAGTCGCATCCCAAGTATTTCCCTCAGCCCCTCAAGTATCTCGTCTCTCAGGGATGCCAAAGTTTGAAGTTGGCTGAAGCTTTTTTTATTTTTTCAAAAAGCACAGAGTCTACTCTGTTATTATCTTATTCCACTTTCCATTTCACGCAAGTGTGAGCGGTGCCTCTACTGCAGGTTGGTGGCTGGCTTTCTTGCTCGAACACGTCGCAAGGATGAATGCTGGCTCAGTCTGATTGGTCCATGTTCACTGTTGTACTTTTAGCTAGTCTCTGGGTTTAATCGGTTGTTTCCAGCTGGGATCATGTTCTAAACAATGTTAAGAAGACAACAGTCCCAGAGAGTCAGATGCCTCTCCACATTGGGCTCCTTTTGACTGCTTTTCACTCTGTGTGGCCGGCTGCTTTGGTCTTTTTGATCAGGGAAGCGCTCTAATCCTCCTTTTGTTGATAGAGAAGCAACACTGCTTCTTGCAGTGGTACTTGCAGTCTGTTGTAAGTCATCACATGTAAATATGTAGGTCCACTTCCTGCCCTTTTGACTAGAGACATTCTCACCTTTCTGACCTTTTGTTTCCAGACTAAACAGCCCAATAAATGGGAGGTGTGCAGTCCTGCTCCTGCCTTTGGTTTCTTAATTCCACTCAGACCTCAGGTGGTTGGGGATACATTGACACACTAGGCGGCTGTAGTAAAATCCATCCTGGCACATGCGTCTGGGGTTTCTGCATGGCAACCTGTAACAACTAGAGACAGGAAGGGACAGATCGAGAGAAACAGAGGGGATCAAGAGGTAGTGTAAAAAATAATAGAAAAGGAAAATAAGATAAAGAAAAGAAATGAAAGCAGGAAAAGAAGACAAAGGGGGAAATGAAATGAGAACATCCAGAAAAAGATTTTTGAGAAGGGTGAGGTTGAGAGTGGGAAGATAGGAACAGAAGAGAAATACAAAGGAGATTATTTTTGTCTTGGCATGCTTACTATTGATTATTCAGATCATCATATCCCTTTTGGGCAAACCTTCATCCAAGTTTTGTTTGCATCAAAGGACTCTGTGTGTGAGGAAAAAAAGAGGGAGTACTTTTCCGGGGGGGGGGGG